CTCTTAAAACACTTTAGGCTATTGACTCCAATCATGACACTACATGGGCTCTGCTCACGGCACGATTTGAGTATCATTTACTCCTTGTGAAAAACTATATCATGGCTCTATTAGACATAAATTCTTTATGTGACAAAAGTGCAGAAGGCCTCTTGAGACTTTTTGATACGCTTGAAAAAAATCGCGACTAACTACGAAAGTTCAAATAACTTGTGGATTATTATGATGTCAAGATGATATCATTTGCCTTGAAATGTATGAGTCGATTAACAAGACAATGGCAGGAGAATGAGCTCGAAAAAATAGAAGCCGCAACAGCGAGAAAAGAAGCAAAAAGAACTATGTGTGCCTCAACATCGTAGACGGCTGCCTTCGTTTGTGATGCTGTGTGGCGCTGCTGATACTGCATTCAGAAAATCAAGTGAAATCGACATTTTCTTCACTGTTAAGGTATGTAGCCAACTGCTTTGTCAAGTACTACATCAGTGGGTCAATCTCATCACTCAGCAGACAGTTCTGGGCTTAATCTTCCCTGGTCAAGTTTCGGGCCAGGCCCTTTCTCGGCTTTGTCTTTCTTTCGGTGATACCTTGACGGGTGTGCAGGCCTCCTTCTAATTACTGTGGTCTCATCTTCGTTACTGTCCTAATACGGTGATAGAGTACCAGTATTTCATGGACAAGTATCCTACCTGTAGGTACATGTACTAGTTAAACGTAGATAAGGTCAGCACCTTGTTGCATTCCGTCTAATATACTTTGTATTATGAAATTGGGCAAGCCATAGACAAAAGACCGAGACTGTGGGTGATCTTTTATAACTTCTGGCCCACGTTAACAAACTGCAGTTTAAATGGTGCTTTGTAAGCTGGTGCAAAGTCGTCTGCAACGCTGCCTAACATGATAACGCACTGGAGAGTGCATCGAATCATCGTTTGTTCAGCAATAATATTCCGGCAGATTTTGGTCAATATGCATGACGCTTACCCTTATCACATCATCTTAAGCTCTGATAAGTCCCTTTTTTCTTAGCATGACCAGCTTTTGAGCCTTACCTATGGCACGACTTGCACATCGTATTTATCATTTTACATGGTTCAGCAGTTGTGCGAGGACAAGAGTCATGCCTAGCCGAGAACAGTCTCAATCATCAAGCACGAGCACTATGCTGATGAAGTGCTCTCAAACGATGTGGATACAGCTTGAGCACGGTGAGCTCAAGTAATCAGCCTTCTTCAGGCTGACAGGCTTCTACTTAGGACATGGGTGTTGAATACGTCTGAACTATTAAGTGATCTTCTGGAAGACGTACGATTGCGTCCAACATAGCATCAACTCACCATGGAAGGCTTAGTAAGCAAGTGAGGTATTAGATAGAAATCAGTGAAATACTGCCTTTAGCTTACCCGTCTAACTATTTAGATACACTAAACCAAGCACTATACTTGCGGGACTCGCCCGACTTTTCGATCCTCACAGTTGGCTGGCTCCTATCATTTGGATTTTGAAGCAGATCATCCAGAATCTCTGGTGAGCTTAACTACATTAGGACGAGATCATGCCTTTGCCAATGGTGAATTGGTAAACAACGTTTTTAAATGAACCTCAAGACTTCCACACGCGAGTTTGAGAATCCGCTGATGATGTTTGTACTTGCCTTCTCATTAACAGGATCCAATTATCGACTGTAAAAAGTCTTCTGCCATTTTTTTTTCCTAGACTAAAGCTTCAAGCATCTCTTCTAGTTGCCAGACTTATCTGCATTGTCTCTACTAAGCTTGCAGTGAACCTCCAGCACTACCATGCTTAAGGTGGTTCTCAGACCGTCGTGAAGTGGCTGCGTTCACCTAAACTGATCGACAATATTCTCGTGGGTTATAACGTGACAGATATTCAAGGATTCCTCCTATCTCACGCTGGGTGATACATTCCAATAGAATCCAATCTAGCTGGCAATGTATCCATAGGAATTAATCGACACACATTGATGCTTCAGTGCTTCTGGAGAATCACTCATTAACTTTATCAGCCTTTTACGTAAGAAAAAGATTTTTAGTAAAAAAATTCTTACTAATCAGAAGATCGACACAAACCTTAAGCAGTCCTCTGGTTTATGGAAAGTTTCTCATTCGGAAGTCTTACATGTGAGAAAGCATCTTCTTTCTACATGAGAAGGTGGACAAAACTATGGAGTAAGACCTCAGGTAAAAAGGTTGTGGCTCTTTAACTAACCTTAAACTTGGCTAACAAGGACTCTAAGTAGCAATAGCCACGACACAGAGGCGCACTCACCTGTTTCGTGCACCATTTTGGCTACATCAAGCTCCATATTTGAGAAGTTCTTGAATCTTTCTCGTTTGCTTTGTTTCGTCACTCAGATGTGACAATAAGTAAGCAAACGGCTTCAGTAAGGTTACGAAATTAAGGTTTTCTTCACAGTGACACTAGCTAAGCTTTACAAAATGTACTGGGCGTGCACTGATCGCAGTCAGTTACAATTTTCTTAACCTGAAGTTGACTTGCTACGAAAGAGCAAAGAGCTGCGTGTCAAATAGTATCTGCTGACACACTCAAACCCCTTTATGTTGCCAACATTAGGTGTTCTCTATGGGGGTGGTCGTTTGCTGCATTTCAATCTCAGTTACGATTAGATTTTACAAATTCATATGTTTTACAATTTATTAATAAAAAGCTTTTTTTACTAGCGTGAAGGACGATACCAGTTTGGTTCATCTAAAAATTTTTTTTTCTTTTTTCTAATTTATACTTCCGTAGGCGCGTTGTGTGCAAGACAAGATAAACGATTGTAGAACTTTGAGCTTAAGAAAACGTGTAATAAAAGTAGATTTCGCATGTTACTTGCCCTTTGTCCCCATATTTGTCACCATATCGCTTGACGCCTGTCTCCTCAATATCACAGCACACCACGGTATGCCTCATATTACAGCAAACATTTTAATTGTCATTGAATTTCATTTCTTATTTTTTCACCAACTCTCACAAAAAACGACTTTAGTCTCGATATTTAAAACTTGATTACTCGTTGTTAGGATCTGATTCGTACCTTTTTTTCAATGTAGATGTTCATTTACCGTTTATTTAATAATTTGGCTTTATGTAATAATGAGTTGTTTATTTAATTTTTTCAGTTAAATGATTTTTTTTTACTTGAAAATTAGTACATTTTAGCAAAGTAATTTTTCCATGCAATAAAAAATGATATTTATACATACATATATATATATATACACACTTACTTGTTTTTCTGATAAATTAATAAATAATTACTTACATATATATATTTTTCTTAAATTTTCAAGTATTTTAAGAAATTTTTATTATATTCTATAAATACATTATCTAATTTTTATTGTGTCTTATTCTTCAACAGTTCTACATTTGTGATTTTAGAGGTTCAGGACAGTTGACAGAAAAAAGTTCTCAGCAATAAAAGCAGCATAAAGATATGCAACAATGCTGGAAATTTTTTTGTTCATATGGATGTACATAAATGTTTTTACGCATCTTTGACAACTTTTTACATGTATTATTAGAAACTACAACTTGTAGATCTTTGGGATTATGATGACGCGTTGGAGCTTCTCCCAATGCTCAAGGATATCGGAGGTGCGAAGCAGGTCATGGAATGAATGAGCGAACGGGTTAAGAGTAATTTAACTTTATTCATTATAAAACAAGAAGAGACTGCACTTTGTTAAACTGTTCGCTGCTCGTGGACGAGGCGCGTGCCGTCGTCGTTGCTGGTAGAGCATCGTGTCTAGCAGCGTTCGCTACCTTACGGTAGGCGCTGTCTTGAGTCGAGAGAGAGGAGGTGGCGCGCGTAGCTAGTCCGTGCGCGGGATAAGCTGTTGCTTCCGCCGAGAATCTTGATTTGAGCTTTGGCCGGTAGATGGCGCTACAGATCTATTTAAATGGTTAGTGCGTTTTATCTCAAAGCAATCTCTTATATAAATCAAATTATGAGTAATTATTACAGATTATATAAATGCACCTTAACGTAATTTTTCCTTAAGGTTACATGTAAGGTTAAGAATTTTTAAACTTAAATATTATATAGGATACAGTGAAATAATCTAAAACTCTTTCAGTATTTTTTATGCTATGTCGAATGTATGTTTGATATTTAACACACATTCATTAAAAAAAACTACGTGTGACGAACGTCCTGAAGGGATACTTACTAGCATGTAATACTACCTTTTGGAAGAAAGAGGTATCACAAGATGGTTTTTTTTAACCTTTTAGATACAATTATACTTTGTATATTAAGAATGGACTAGGAATATGAGCGTTAGCGTATATGGCATGTGGTAGTGTGGCATTGAGATGTCATTAACGAAGGTGGTAGAAAGTTGTTTAAAAATCGTTGGAAGATTCGATGATAAAGCATAGTCCTGTGCTCACCAGCTTTCATGTTGTTTATATTATTTTATGCCCTAATATATGCTGTTAAAAACTATGTTATCTACCATACTATTTCATAAAATTGTAACTTCTTACTTGGGTACCTAAGTACTCTATTTCCACTGATTTTTTTTCTTACGTAAAAATAGCTGAAGAAAAAGGGTTACAACTCAAAATGTACCTTATTTGTATGTGTGCTTTGGTTGCGCGTTATTATGAGGTGGGAAAGAGTAAATTAAAGAAATTAAATTTTGTTCAACATTTTTTGAAGAATATATTTTTAGCTTAATCTTGTACCAAATTTTTCTACGGAAGTGTAATGAGAAAAAAAAAAAATTTTATGTGGTACTCTGTTATTTTGTAGATCACAATATTACACTTTAATACAATACATTCACTTCTTAAATTGTCAAATTTATCTGCAGTACTTACTTACACAATTTCTTTAATTTGAAATGACACTACAAAAGAAACGCGTTTTCCATATTGACTAATTAATAGTCTAGATTAATAATGTTTTATGAGCAATTTTCTCGTAAGTTGACAGTAAATTATATAATGTTGATTTCTAGATGGTAATCGACCATGAAAGTTGGATAATGAACCTTAATGAAGCTAATATGAATGACCGTCCAGTATGGTACAAACTATATAGTGCTCGACAAGCTTACCAGATGCCATCAACTTTACCCAATGATTGGGACAACTTGATAGATAGAATGATGATAGAACCTCAGATATTTGAGATTTATTACAAGTAATCATAAAATTTCTTTATATTTACTGTGAAAATGTTGTTTTATAAGTTTAATTATGTTCGTTAAATATATAAATTATATTTCTCAGACATTATCACAAAGATTCACCTGTCAGACCACCATATAATGAAGATAGCAAAAAAAGATTGTTATGTGATCTTCGAAGTGGTAAAAGTCATGATCGTAAAATTTTTTGTGATGCTTTAGAATCAAAAATAAATGGTCTCACTAAAAAAGGTTGGCGCTCTTGGATATATAATGGTCTTGCATTTTCGTAAGTTTCTATTTTTTTTCTTTTTTTGGTAGTTTCATAATGTTGTTGATCAAGTATTTAAGTGATTGGAAAAATTAAACAAAAAAAAAAAGAAAAATATTCATTACAGAATGGTTTTTTTTTTTCATTTTATGAAAAAACATTTTTACTATATTAAAAAAAAGTAAGTTTAATCAGATATTTTATGCACAATCTTTAACCCATCTCTAGAAAAGACTAGTTATAACAATGATAGTAGTAAATACCATTAGCACTTTTTTTAATTTTGTGTATGATTATCATATATATTGAAATAAATGTTTGTAAAAAATAATACCATGTTTTACGCTCATTAAGTGTTACACTAAGAACCAGAGTTCCTATATGTTAAGAAAGAACGTAAAAAGTAAATGATCGTATAAAAGTAATAAATACTGGACCCTATTTAGATTTTTTTTTGGGAATGAATTATAATAGTACTATAGCATTATACAATTTTATATCAGTTATGATACCGATGTAAGCAAAAAAAGTGTTGAAAGATTACTGTTCCTTGCCAAAAAAGTCCATCATATTTTGTTAGGATATTTGTAACTGTTGCAAAAAAAAGCTAGGATAAAATAATATTCAAAGAACAAATTGACAACAGCAGAATGTATCGTACGTAAACAAAAGTAAAAAATAAATTTACGGCATAAAATTACAAGGTGTGCTCAGTTCAACAGCTAATCTGGGGCAGTCGCTACACTTTGCTTAACTTTTCCTGTAAGTAGCAGAGCTACTGTTACTATTAATTTTACAGCGTTGCCAATGAACGCAAATGCGTAGTTTTATTTTACAATACTCTCTTTATTTCAGCATTTACAAGTACTGAGCAATATTTAACTTACATAGCAAATTATACAATTTTTCGGATATAAATTGGTTTTAAACGTCAGTGTATTTTGATCTCTAATGAAATTTAAAACGACGTCTAATGGTGGTACTGTCACATTTTGTATTTGATTAAAAATAAAACCACGTTCCAGCCGTTTAAATGACGTTCGGGCCCTAATCAGGTACAAAAATCTATGACTAATAAAAATTCTTTACAATACAAATTTTGATAAAATATAATGAACGCAAATTAATTTGAGAGTATAACATACCTCTGACACAAAAGGGATGTAAAATCGTAATGTAGTCAGAGTTTCAAGTTTGGCTGCTTTTATATTCTGCACACACACAAATCACATCGTACACGTACGTTATACAATAAATTAAGTATCTTAAGCAATTCCTTGTGAGAAGCATTTAAATAGTACAAGTGTTCCTAACACTACAAATGAAAGAGGCCCCCTAATATCATTTGTGATTGTATATGTGCAGAGTACAAAATCAGCTAAGCTTGAAATTCTTACTACGTAACGATTGTACATCCCTTTCGCAAATGTAAGAGGTATGTTATATACTCAACTCAATATGCGTGCATTGTACATTATCAAAATTTGTATTCTAAAGAATTTTTATTACTGACAGACTTATGTACTTGATGAGGGCCGAAACGTTGACCAAATGGCTAAAAAGCTCTTTAATTTTTAAATAAACACAAAGTATGACAGTACTACCGTTGAGCGTTGTTTTGACTTATTTACTAATTTTCGTTGAAAACTGCACGTCCCTTTACATCAGCATCTACACTGCGCTGTTATGATAAACACTAGATTGTAATTGCTAAACATTTTTACCAGAAGGAAGTTTGAATCTCTCTGCAAGGTGCTTGACTGCATACGTGTATATTTTGATAGAAATGGAGTTCTGTTTTTCATAAGCTTTGTGCGCTAAAATGTTTTCATACTTCTTAGTGTAATATACAAAATGTAACTAATCTTAAGTAAAAAATCTCAATTAACCGAATAAAGTTACTGGTATTGAAATAACATTCTACCTATAACCGCTTAACTCCCTGGCAGTGTATTCTCAGTAGCTCACTGCGCTCACTTTTTTTCAGTTTTATTTATTTGATAAGCAAAAAAAATCAAAAACCATTAACCCTTAACAGTCAAACGTACTCGCTTGTTCGTGCTTTTGTTTATTACACATGTGAACAGAATCCCAAGTAGTCGATCCTCAGTTACCCAATGCTATCAGATATTAAGATTCACTGTTAATTTAAACATAAACGGAAACTTAACAAGCTAATTTCTGAAGTCCTGCAACACCAAAATACCCAAGTAAATGCAACTTACAAAATTAAAACTGAAATATAACTAACGAAAGCAAACACAAGTAAAGGTTAAACTCCAGTACATACTCTGAACATACGTGAGTTTTAAGTTCTAAAGGCCACATTGAGTGTTAGCTCAGTTAGGCACACGTTCTGTTTTGAACCCAATGATCATGAGTTCAAGACTCGGTACCATCTTGTTTTTTCTTTTCCTTTTTTTTTATTTCGTATTAAAAAATATTATGATATCCGTTTATTTATAAATAACTAACCACAGAGTAACGCGTATGCATAAAAAACTCATTCCCGTAACACAATAGGCATGGCTCGTTTATTTTTAAATATACTTATCACCACCCAACATGCTCCACTGCCTGCACTGTTGTCTATATAATAGATAAATGAAATTACTAGCAGCTTATACCTAGTAACCCGATGCACTTGCTTGTCCATACGCTCTTTTATCAAGAGAATTAACAAGATATCAAGAATGTAATAACCAGTAATCTGAAGTACATGCTTGCGTGCTCTTGTATTTATTAAATTAGCAACATACATTTCAAGAGCGTATCCTAGTGTTAAATAATCCGAAGCAATAGCTTGGCTACAACTTTATTTACTTATTAACTATACTATAGTTTAAAAACGTATTTTAATGTCAAATAATCTGAAACACTCACTTAGCCATGCTTTTGTTTATCTAACAAGTATTTTAAACCTTGAGAGTCTTATCCCAAGTAATTTTAAGTCCTTCCTCCATCGCACTTTTATTTACTTAATGAGCATTTAAAAATTTAAGATCTTTATCCCGAGTAATTTTAATGGCTCGCTTGTGTGTGCTTTTGATTATTTAATAAGTATTTCAAATTTCAAGAGCCACACACGAGTGACTTGAATCGCTCGCTTAGATATGAATACATATGTATATACATGTATGGATGTTTTCTCAGGTATAAATTTAATTTAAGCTGTAAATCTATAAGCGTTAATACAGTCATAAGTTTCGTCATTTGCATACACGTTAACGTACATGAATTCAGTTGTCAGATAAGTTCTTATTGTACTAATAGCAACACCAACAGTGAAAACTACGCTAACTTATAAGATTTTTTAATTGAAAAAAAATTTTTTTAATTTTAAAAACTCCGGACATCAGAAATTTAAAAAAAATTTATGCTATCATAAACAAAAATCCGAGAATCTTTGACTTTAAATATACGAAAGACAAGTTATCGTAAGCTTTCATCTAAAGTATTAACTAAAAAGATCATTCAGACGAAAATCACTGTATTGATTAATATGTTAGCCTTTGATTAGAGGCAGAAAAACTGCGTTTTTCAAAGAGTGGTAAAGGTCTTGTTTTTAATTAAAAAATACATGTAACGTATTTCATACCTCATTTTTTAATTTTAGGCAGTGTAAGTAGGTATAGGTAAACTATAGGACTTTTAACTTGTTCAGAGGCCGATAGGCTTTCGGCAATTCCTGCTGCCTATCCCCCTACTATCTCCACTCTTTACCCTACACATTACTGCACAGTATCAGCTCGTATAAGTGCTGTCACAGTTGGTGCACAGTAGTGTCTACGAGTGAATGTTAATGTCCTACTGCAGTTGTCGTTGACCACCTCTAACACCCTTTTTCCCTTTTTGCGGACTCTGCTTCACTTAGGTCAGAAAATTCTTTTTTATTCATATTATGGAATGAGGAAAAATTAAACTGATAAGAAAATCAAAACTTTAATCAAACTGTTTAACATGTTTACTGACGCACATAGCTGGCATTGTGTGCCAGATACTGAATAGTTTGATCTTATTAGTTGGAGGATTGCCCAAAACTGTAATATCATAAGCTTTCAATTTCAATCTTTCCAACCAGTGCTTTCTCAATGAGCCGAATACATGTAGTTTTCTAACATTGTGTATATGTTTTTAAAAAATTTGGACTGTAGCGATTTACTACAAATTTTCTACTCTGATGCTATGCCATAAAATCAGCGTTTTGACCTAAGATTTCTCTTCTACATTTGTCTAAGAGTCATTACTATAAAAGCAAAATCAGTACATTAAAGCAAACAATAACGTTAGTTACAGTTGTCTTATCTCAAATATTAAACCCACCAGCATTTTCGGTCATTAGATCCTCATCAGGATGGAGTGCAAGCCAATTTTATATAATAGTGATTAGACTACCGTTACATCCTGAGTTAATACAAATTATATTATAACTGAAAGCTATCCGTCCATTAAATTCAGATAAGATGTATTCTGAATAAAAAAGCAAGCTCATTTGACAGGAGGAGCTCATACGTCATTTATGTTCAATACTATGCTGACATATGAAACACCAACCCTGTTTGTAAGAATGTACGTATGTATTAAAATCGTATTGTATATATAAATAAATAAATTTTATTGTATGTATAAATGAATAATTTACTTGGGCAATGATTGCCCACTTCTGATAACACTGATTTTAAAATTTGTAATTAACACACTATTTCGTTAAATTCAAAATTGATTGTAAAATCCTCAGAAGGATTAATTTCAAAATTTGTAAGCTTACACCAAAATTAAATTTGTATTTGATGTTCTTATATTGCTGATGCGAGCTTTCATCATCACTGACCCAAAAAACTCAATCGAACTTGTCAGAGAAATGCGCTTGGTACTGTTGTATTGTTATTTCCTAATACATTAAATCATAACATAAAACATCATCGTGCAAACCTATTGTTTTTCTGTCAACGCAGTCTGCACGAACATCGCTCATTGGTTGACCTTTTTCTACCAAAGGCCTCTTTTACTCGCTCTGA